AATTTCACATACTATATTTTGATTAGATAAAAGATTACATTCAATGATACGTTCGAATTTAGTGGTAGAGGTGATATATATGAAATTATGATCAATTAAATGAAGAAAAAAAAACTTATGAATTCATTAAAGAAATGGGAATTATATGAAGCAATAAATTTGTTTTATTAATTTATGACATAGAAGTATTCTGTGTAAATTTCCATCTTTTTTAAATTTTTATCATAAAATATTTTTTATGGTGAAATCATATGTTTCATTTTTAAAAAAAGAACAGAAACCCATTTTTATTTATTTGGAAAGAAAATAAAAGAGAATGATATACACTGATGATTTTTAGAATCGGATTCATTTGATTCCTGAAATAAAGTCAGATCATTGGATTTGCATAGGATATTTTAGGTCCGAGCATTACGAAATTTGGGTGCTATCCAGAAAGCTGTTAATCGTTGTAAATTAATTTCTTGTAATGATTTTGATCAATTATACGATGACTGTTATAAAATTCAGTAAGTTATAAAACGTATGAAATTAATTTTTTCTTATCAATCACACTAAATTTCATCACCATTAGTTTTAGTAAATGAATAACTGAAGAAGAGTCGCTATTCTCACTTCTTTCAATCATTTAACTCGAAGAGAAATATAGCGTCCTGAAATGATACCAAACAATTGCAAGAAATGAATAATGCAATTTCTTTTTACTTCTGGATAACAGTAATTTGTTTATAGGCATCGATCGGGTCGCCTAGCAAAGCGTCCTGCAGAATGCGAAAATACATCGAATGATAAGAGTAAAAAGCAGAAATACACTTCAGATAGTCCGTAATTATTCCAGCGTTTTTTATCATTCTGCAATTTCCGATCATTTATACAGCAGAAGTTATGGCAAAAAACAACAAATTAAATTTAAAATTTTAAACAGCAATATTATAGGTCATTTAATATAAGCCCCCAAATTTAATTTTAAAATGCCTAAAAAAGTTCATTTTTTACTAAAGTGATTTGCATCAAAAATGCTCTTTATAAGGTGAATGATTAAATATCGTTAACTAATCATATCTTATCAATATACCAATGAATCAGTCTCTGTATCATTCACTATTGTATTACACTTTTTTGCATTTTGTAACGTTCAAAATATTCTTTTAATTAATTATTCCATAATAATCGATTAAACAACAAGTGATTGTTAGTGATAAGAACACAGTATAACAGCTTATAAAATATTTTCAGTATGACTGTAAAATACTTATAGGAAGGTAAAATCTTAGAGCAATGATCAGAAAATTCTCTAAAAGGCACACAATAATATACTTTGACCGTAAAAAAGTCATAGAAAATGATCAGAAAACAATAATTTGTCAATGAAAAGTGCTGATACTGATATAGGAGTTAAATTTACTGAAACTGTATAAAGTATGAAGCGATACACTATAGTTGTAAGATATGATAATATTGATGATAATGGTGATATCACTGGCAATACATATATAATTCATGATTCTTTCCTTTGTTCATTCATAACCGCATTATTATTTTATTAAAAAAAAATGAAAATGAAAATGAGAAAAACAAATGCATAAATTAACAAAATTTCAACTGAATGAACATTAAATTATTTGATTAATTCATCCACTGATTATTTTTGCTAAAAAAGAGAAAACAGTGAGCTCTTTTTTTTGTCAAATTTTTTCGACCACAATTTTTTTCTTTTACGGTTAAATATTATATGAAGTATACTGTTGTTTTTTTTTTTTTTTGTAATTGTTGTTAAATTATAATATAAATATTTAAGGAATACTGGTACCATTTACAACAAAGCAACAAATTCGACAACTGATGGCTACTGTTACTACAGCAATTACTTCCCAATCACTGCAATCAAAAGAAAATACAATTGATACAACTGTTCCTGATCACAAATCAGATTCCAGGTTTTCTTTTTATGCTAGTAATCATTGATGTAAATTTCTCTTCGTTGCCATTTCATAATTTTAAATTATCATTGTGTATTTCCAATGCTGAAATATAAATATGTAAAAATTGCTGTCACAATCATTGTCACAAACAAAGTTGTTAATTCTACATACTATAATCTCATTAACTGTGAGCAAAAATAGTGCATACTCATTTGTATTAATCATTTCATGAAGTATTTCATTACCATCGATACCGTTGAATTTGACTAAAAATGTTGACAATCATCAAAATGAGAGTGACAGCAACAACGCATCGGAGAAAGGAATTTCAAGTCATAATTCCAAATTTATTCAAATTTGTTCACGAAGCAAATGCATCAATCAGGTTATTAATGATATCTTATCTGTTTTATCCAAGGTTCGATTTTCTTATAATTAGAATTTAAATCTTGTTTATTTACCACATGTGATTTTATTTACCTGCATAAGCTAACGAAAGCCATCAAATAAAATAAGCTAAAAACAGCAGCAAATGTTTACTGCTACTTTTCATGATATTTATATAAAATATTACATCATATTGCAATGAATTTCAAAATTACTTTGGCTATATTTTACTGATAAATAATTGAAACACATTCCGATAATATTCTCAGGATGAATCAACCGAAGATACAAATATTTTACAAGTTATGCTCAGTAAATTAATCACGTTAATCGAGATGGCAATGGTGAATTTAAAAACGGAACGTGAACTGGTTGAGAATGAGAAATGTTAAATTTGCTTTTATCTTTTATCTTCACAATTGATTTTAGTAATGCATTTTCAAAAATAAATATTGTTTATGAAAAATTTTTAAATTGTTAAATCTATTGACGCGAAAATTATCGCAAAATGGGAGACCATATTTGCATCATAATTAATCCTATGTATATGTTAAAATCATAAATTGGCATATCAGATTGTTTTCCACTAAAAAAAGTTAGGAACCTTAATTTTTGAAGTTTTTAATTACTATTACAGCACTCGTATGCAAAGTGCAACGAGATCTTGAATGCAAGCAAAGTGAATATAATAAAATACGACGAGAATTATCCATGGAACAACAAAAAACCAGTAAGTATAATTTTATATTGTAACAACATAAAAAAATTAAACCTTCTGAAACAAAATCGAAATCATATAATTCTGAAGCTAATTAAAATTAAATTTATGCTATTAATATTGTCTTGTAGTTTCGGATAAACACAGTAGCCAATAAGTTGTTGTTTAAAAACTTCAAAGTAATATTATTTATAATAGTATAAACAAATTAGATAAAGAAAACATTTAAATCTTGGTATCATTTATTTGTATCATTTAATTTGCATTTTTAGAGAATTATTTTCGGCATTACTGCAAAGCAAAACGTGAATCACTAAAACTGAAGGAGAAATTAATCAACTTAAGCGACAGTATAAGCACGAAGACAAAGCTCGAATAAAAAATAATCAAATGTAAGATATAAGAAGAATCTTCTATCGTAGATCTTATTTGTTATCAGTGGATATCATTAGATCTACATCCATCGATAGATATTTGATTTGTTACTTTCTGTATCATTATATAATTTGTATTATTAATCGTATTTGAATTATTATAAAAATAATTATTTGATGTCTATTTTTCTGATTCATTCTGAAATAGACATTCATGGATATTTTTTGATTGCTTATTGTTAATTATTGATTCGTATTTCAAATGTTGTTGGTTTTTCCCAGTTTATATTATTAGTGATTGGATGAATGATTGTAAGAAAAAATTACAGCAAACTAAATGTCAAAATATTGCTAGTATTTAAATTAGGTCTCATTTTCAAACTCATTATCATTCACAGCAACAATTTTCCTTATTTTTCTTATAAAAGCATATGGTCCACTTAAAAAATTTACTCCCCGATTTTTTCTTAATATTCTAATATTTAATTATTCTTATTAACAGATATCATAAGTCCAAAAAAAAAAAAAAATTCTTCTACTGACCGCTTTTAATTTCATATCCATCCAAAAAATTATGAAAAGGCATGAAATTATATATTTGTTATATCTGCACAAAAACATAGAAAGCATTTGATTAACTCTCGAAAAGTTTGAGAAAAACATTACTATTGCACTGCAATAAAAATAATCAAAAAACATTGCTATTGCACTGCAATAAAATAATTAAAAGAAGAAATTTATGCATCCGTTATTATTATTAATTGACCAGTTAATTAATCTGATTGACTACTGTTATTTTTTTTTTTTTTTTTTGAAACAATCTCCCAATAATTTCCTACATCACATTTTCAGCAGCAAAGCAAATTAAATGTATTTAGCTGAAGTGATAATAACAGTGATAATAGAAGTCACTGAAACATCTTAATCAATAAAAAATTAGCCTGCACAAGTCAAGATCGTACGTTTATGCTCGCCGAACGAATGATACTCGGAAAATACTTATCAATTAAAGCATTGTTAATTTGATGTGAACTTTACAAGTAAGAAATAAATCATGCCTTACTTGTGTCATCATCTTATTAATAAATATTTCATGTTGAGAGACAGCTAAAAATGACCCCTTTCTAATAAAAAATTTATGGAAGCATTGCAGGGCCGCCGTAGCTCAGTCGGTTAGAGCGTGGGTCTAATAAGCCCAAGGTCGCAGGTTCGACCCCTGCCGGCGGCACATTGAACACTATTTTGAAAAATTGGTAATTATAAAAAAAATGTGGCGTTGGATGGAAATCTATTAAGTTGTAAAAAAATATATAGGAACAAAATGCGTATTATACCCGACATGGCCAGCCAATACTGTCCTTCCGATTAATATTTCGTTTCAGAGTAACACGGAAGTTTAGTACTTTCCACTTAGCAGTCGTACTTTCACATATCTTTGTTACAGGTAGTATAACACAATGTAACAACTAATATTTCTTGAATATTGACTACACCAGCACAGCAAAAGCCTATTATCATCACTGTATCGATCAATCGATTATTATCACCATAATCAATATCATTATCACTATCATTAATCGTCACCACCATTATCAATCATCACTCATGAACACCATCATCACAATCACCATTACCAATCATCATTGCTGCGACAGTGTCACTATTATCACTACTATAACCACTCTCCTTATCTAATAGTCAATATTCTCTCTCTCTCTCTCTCTCTCTCTCTCTCTCTCTCTCCTTAAATCATCACAATATTGTCACAACAAATGATCGATTAGATCGATGTAATATGTAATATCACTATGTAATAACAATAGAAATTTTTGTATTTGTATTCAAATTCAACATTAGCTCAAATGCCAAGTACTAGCAGAGCCGCCGTAGCTCAGTCGGTTAGAGCGTGGGTCTAATAAGCCCAAGGTCGCAGGTTCGACCCCTGCCGGCGGCACGCAAAGTCGTGGCTTTTGCATTTGAAATTCATGCGTGAAGAATTTTCAATTGATCTCAATTTGTCATATGATATATTAGAGAGACAAGAGAAGGAATGACAGAGATATGGGTGATGGTGATGACTGTGATGATGATGATGATGGCGGTGATGATGATGATGACATCGAAGGAATAGCAGGTAAAAGCAAGCTGATTAGCGTTTTCTTGTTTTCTTTTTCCATTTTCGAATTTGAACTTTTTTCCTTCTTCCATTTCTGAATCTGAAGGGATATTCTTTTCTGATTCTTCTGAATTTAAATTTCATTTTTGAATTCAAATTATTCAACTGAAATCTTACAAATTGCTTTTGCAAAATGGGCGCTCCTGCCGCCGGCAGGGGTCGAACCTGCGACCTTGGGCTTATTAGACCCACGCTCTAACCGACTGAGCTACGGCGGCTATGTGGTTTACCTGTGATTTATTTTCTAAGTTCTTTTGAAATCATTTTTGATTTTTAATATTTGAGAATGCAATAAATGTTGTCTGCTAAACAGAAGCACTCTACCAAAGTGTGCTGTTTTTTTAAAAAATTTTTGTAATTAACAGCAAACATAATGTGTTAGTGTTCTTAAAAAATACGTAATGTTATTGACTTTAACACTGTAATTTTCTGTAATAACAGTAAGAATATTGATTGTACTGCAATATACAAATTATAGCTTCAGCTTTTTTTCTCCAGTTTTTTTTAGGTTAATGTTTGGAGAATTATGACAGTTACATTAAATTATTACTTTATAACTGGAATATGTTACTAATGAAATTTATCATACTAATGAATATCCGAAGCGTTCTATTATCTTCTATTATTGCATGTTAATCATGTAATTCATGTAATTCTAAATTTGAATTAGTGTATAATCTTTTCATCTTGAATAGTTCAGCTGAGGATTTTCGTCATTTTTAATTCTTTTTCTTTTCTCCTTTTCATAATTTTATATATGGTGTCATTATATTTACTATTCAAATTTTCTATTTCAGTATTAAATTAATTTTATGACACTAAATGACAAACATCGAAATTTTTTTTTCTTCGAATTTCAATTGATATTTGTTTTCACTACTTTAAATCAATTAAATTTAATTTGTACGGCAAAAGTTTTAAAGTAATTCATTAGAATGATTGAATTAAGCTATATTTTATTAATTGATTATTTGATTGAAGTAATTATTAATTGAAATAAAGCTTTTCGAAGTTTTTATTTCTTCTAGTTGATCTTACAAAACAATTATCAGTAGGTTTCTCAATTTTTCGGTTGTTTTAGCCAAGCATAAAAATTTATAATTTGACCAAACAATCGTTGCTTTTTTAAGTTAAGTGTCACTCTCTAACGCTATCACCAATACTTTATACTTCCATTGCCTAATCTACTGCTTTGTTAATTTTTCCCCGCAATAAAATTTTTAATATTATATCGAATTTATATGGGAAGAAATGAACTTGATTTCTTCATTATGAAACCATTCATTTTTATGTTTTCCCAAATTTCGCCTGTTCCTTCTCTTTTTTTTAAAATTTTTTTTGAAGCATTTTTCAGCCTTTTTTCTTTTTTGTTTCACGAAAATTGAAGATTGAAAAGATGAGTGTTTCACTCAGCTGTTCAAAAAAAAGCAAAAAACAGAAAAAGAGTTGGATGCTAATTAGAATAATTAATTCAGTGTTGATTTAATTTAATATATCTGCAATTGCATTCATTCTATTGCTAATAATCAGCAACAATCATATTTTAGTTAGTAGAATAGTCGATATAAAAATAAAACAAATAAATTAGATAAATTTTTTTATTGATCAAAGCAAATGGTGTTTTATAAGTTGAAATTGAAAAGTTACAAAAATTGCATTAGAAATTGCTTATCAATCAAATAAATTAATCAAATGTGTCAATAGGATGAGCTATTATGTCAATTCTTTCAATTATTAGTTTAGTTCTATTTATTTATCACTTTTGATTAGCTATATTATTCCTTATGCTGCGCTTTTCTTTATTAATTTCTTTACAATAAAAGTAATGAATAGTTTGAAAAAATTGATAAATCTTTGGAGCTTAAGAAAAATTTCCCTGCATATCTTTTCTGTTCATCAGCACTTAAGCCACAAATATATATATATATATATATATCGCAGAAATTAAAATTGTAATTTATAATACTTTCCTTTACTTTCTCTGCATAAAATTATTATCATGCAGTTATTGCGAACATTTTGTCAACTAAATTAATTAGCTTTTTAGTGAATGATTTCTAAAAAATTATTATAAATAGGCTTAAATAAATCTTTATTGATCGCAATGGTGTATGTGCGTAATTTGTATAATTTTGTGAACAAAAATAGCTTTGTATATGTTTGTGTAAGTTTTGCTGCAGGGCAAATGATATAAAATTCGATACCTCTGGCACGGTTAATTTTTAAAACATTAGCTATTTGGTGTATGATTAGTTCTTGTGCTTTTTAATTCATTTCATTTTTTTTTTTCCTAAGTTTACTTCTTAAGCAGAAATAATTTCAGAAAATTCAAATATTTTCATTCATCATTAAAATGTTCATTACCGAATGTTATAAACATTTCATTCTTCATGACAAATCAGAGTCATAAGAAACAGTTCTCTGTAAATATATGGAATAAAAAAAAGCTTCTATTTTTAAGGTTTTTTTTTAGTTAAATTTTATACTACTATAATTTACTTAAATCCTAAAATGATCACATTATGTCTAATGGTATTGAGTTGTTCGATACTTTCTCACATAATTTGATCATTTTCCATAATTGCTCTCTGTTCATCATATCTGTCAATCTGTGATGATCGATAGCTATGCTTTTTTTATCTATAAGTTTTCAACGCTGTCGCAAATTAAATGCTTGCGATTTGTCTTTGCTGATTTTACAATCAGTTATTTGGATTCATTTCTTGTTTAATTTTGTTTCATTAGTTTAAAATAAGTGTGAAATATATAACACGATGATAATTTTTTAACTAAAAAGCACAAAAACAAAAAATGAATCACTAAAATGTATCATTTTAGCATTGTAAGAATGCAAAGATTGCTTTTGCCAAAATCTTTGAAGAAAGAAAATTTTGTGTTTGAGTACTGTCTCATTCATATTTTTTTTTTTCTGTTTTAATTAAAGGATATTTGAAATAGGAAATACTTTGTGTTAACGTAGGCTAGTTTAATGAAAAATGTGAAAGAATCTCAGAACCTATTTTTAATTTAAAATTCTACATTTATATTAAGACAAACTTATTTTTTGCTATTAATTATATTAATATTTTTTATTTTATTATATTATTTTTATTATTTTCTTTTTATTTTTAATATATATCAATATTTATTTGTTATTTTTATTACTAATATTAACATAAAGTTATTATTATTTAGGTTCTAGAATATCATTTTTCACCTGATCATTGAGTCTTAATTAGTAGAGAAACATGCCTTAATTACTTTTAAATAAAAAAACCTACTTGCTTAATAAAATCAATAGTCACTTTAATTATAATCTTACTACTTGAATAAAGTCACCAATACTTTCTTTCTTTAATACTGTATTTATAAAGCATCCCTCAATTTAATTTAAATTCACTTTAAAATTACCTTTGATAATATTGGAATTTTATTTGCACATACAAATACTGTAGCTGAATGCAATTACGACATCCACTGGGCATCAGTATTTGATGCTATCACCTATTATTGTTATTGCTTTACTATAATTATTTGTCACATGAGATTTACTCATAATAAATTGAGTAAAATAGCATTATTAACTTACCAAAAGCAACCTTTGACCTCTTCATATATATAGGCTCAGTGACTAATTAATACATTATTGTTATCCAAATATTAATGAATAGATATTTTAGCTTCCATTTTACCAATGCTTGGTTCATTACAATTATGCTAAATTCACGCTACATTGATTTTAGTGAATTTAATGAAAATAAATATAAAAAAGAAGTTGTTTAGACGAAAACAAAACCATTTCCTATTAACTTTTTTCGCTTAAAATCTATAATTTATTTTCGTTACACAGATATTATGGCAAAAAAGGAAAAGCCAATAAGCTCCACTTGTAATACTGACAAAAAAAATCTCTGAAAAATTCTTTTGCTTTTTACTTTTCTTTTGAGATATCTATCTTGCGAAATAATCACAAATTATATTAATCAATAAAAGAAAAGAACATGGCTTTCTTAATGACTGAAATACAAAATTTTCGAAAAAAAAAGATCAAATAAAATGTCTTCTACCATTTAATTTATGATGATAAATAAATCAAATCAAATTTTATTCTAGAATCATTTCTAGCACAATTTCTCAGAATCGTTTCTTTGGATTAAATATTGAATGAAATTAATCGTTTAAGGATGGCAAAGTATTCAAATATTATAAATGAAATATTCATATACTTATATTTTATCTGTGAGATCGACAAAGCATTTTACTCTTTACTGAGAAAAATTTTAACCATTCATTCCAACACAGTGATTAGAAAATATTCCAAAATAACGATGATTTAATCTGAAGTGAAAAAAAAGCAGAAAAAAAAAAAAAAAAAAAAAAACATTGTGAAAGGAAGAAACGAAAGAATTGAATTGATGACTTTGCTTGTTCGAAAAATGAAAAATTTTCTCGAAAATACCAAAAAACGAAAAAAATCCGGTTAATAGTACACAGTCAGAATGATGAATTTCATTCCCAAAATGTTCAATTTCACTGCTTGATGATTTGCCACGCACACTCTTCCTATGATTTTTTTAAATTAATTTTTGTTTTCTCTCGTACAAAGTCTGCAACTCTCAAGCTTAAAATTTATCGTATTTTTCTTTATGTTAATTTTCGTCTTATATTTTCCTTTTTTATCGTATTTTAGAAATTTTACTTTTATTGAATAATGTAGACGATATAAGGCAGTGAAAAAAGCTATTCTGGTATGTTTTACTTTTCGTTATTTGTACTCTGATCATTGTGTGATAAAAAGATAACGATCTTTCTGCAGATAACTCAATCATCTCATTTATATTTGATAAGTCGATTTGGCATTCTGTTAGCCCACAAATAAACGAATAAATTTTTATTTATATCAATTATCGAATTATTGATTACATATATGTATATGTATGTATATTGCAATTAACTAGGGACAATATTGTGTCAATCACTCAGCTTGAAACAGTCAATATAATTTCGTCTTTTGCCAGTTGGCCAGAAACAATGTTGTGGCCGCATTCATGTAAATATATTTTTTGTTAAATTGTGAGGAGAAAAATGTTTTGCACATGAAAATGTTTGCTCTTTTTCACTTAATGTCTTTTTTTAATATATATAATATCACTGATGTTTCTCAATAACCAAAGTACTTGTAAATGGTTAATATGAATATTTAATTAGTAGTCAATAATTAGTGTTTATTATTATTAGTGTTAGTAGCACATTCGTAATACAATTCTTTAATATCTTAACTTCTGCTAAAGCATACTAATTCTTGCATTATAAATGATAAATACGAAAAGTCTTTCATTATTCATTCTCTATTATGCTAGAATATCTGGTTTAAATAATATCCGGTTTAGTTATCCTAATCATAACAGATTACTTTTGGTTGCACTTTTTCATCCACAAACATTTTCAAAATATTCATTCTTGTCATTCGTGTATTCCTATTCCCTTCTCAATCATTTTTTGCAGATATTAATAGTATATATATAACACAAAAGTAAGGAAATGAATTGGATGGGAGTGGTAATGAACAAATTAATGATAAACCTCACATGTATGTCTTTCATATTTGACTATGTAGATGAATTAATCTTTCAATCGATTAAAATGTACTTAAATTTAATCAAATTACGATTTTATTATTGCAGGCATATTTTTGAAACAATAAATGCTCTATTTTATTTTAAAAACAACTGTTAAATTTCATTTTAACGAGGAACATAAAATAGAATTATAGTGCATTTCATACGCTGTCGAAAAATCATTACTAGCAAAGAAGAAAGCGAGAAACTAATTGTACATAAAGATTATAGATTTGTTTTTTCTTTCGTTTTTTTGTCTACTAGTATTTCAAAACATTCGTTGTCGTTACCTATTACAATTAATCTCTTTTTTTTTTCAATCTTTGCATTACTATCCTCTTTTTTCTCCTCTCTGTGTCTTCTTTTCCTTCTTTTTATTTCGTTATTGCATAATATTCTTTAATTTCAAAAATAGAAAAAGAAATTGAAAAATCTTTTTTTTTCCATAATTTTCGCCATTACTTATAACCTCTCGTTCTTTTTCACGTCGTATCTCATCACATCTTTCTATCCCATTTATATTGTGTTTCACGTAAGTCATACAAATAAACGTTTATCGATTCCGTGAATGATCGCTTTCTGAATTGTTGCATCATTTTCATGTTCTAAAGACATACGACACCACACATAAGGATTAATTATATCAGTATCGATGAAATGAATTGTGTAATAGTAATCAATTATCAGTCGATTGAAGTATCATATTGACAAGTTTTATCAGTGTATATTTTGCTACAACTTCAAACATTCTAAATGCTTTAACGATGTGTTATATCTTATCTGATCAGCGTAAGATTTTATCTTTGTAAATTTTTTTTTCTATGTTAAAAATTTTTATTTTTTTAATTCTAAAACTAATATTTTATTTTTATTGACAATATAATAAGTGAATGATCAATACATGCCTGATATTTGTTCAAACCTGCATTAAAAAATTTCTTTCTTCTTTTGTAATTTTCTCAGACTTAGAAAGACACTGGGAGAGAGAGAGAGAGAGAGAGAGGCAAAGTGAGGGAAAACGAAGGGAAGAATCGATATATATAGAAGTATTTAGGAAGCACATTAAATGCAATGATAATGGAATATTCCTATCGAAAATTATTGCCAGTTTCTGATTATCATATCTATGTTTTTCGGATGAAACAGATTAAAATTTATGAATTTTTTTTCATATTACTCATTTAAATTTTAGTCATTTATTTTCTGCTCATTATGAATTTCTCGAAATATAATCGTTCCAAAGGCGATCTCTCTCACAGCGCTCATCAATTTCTGAAAAAATGTGACAAGCACATTTTTTATTTTCGTATCCTCTTGTCAACCATTTTGTCATCTATGAAATAAATCATTTACAAAACAGATATATTGTAACAGCTGCTATCGCATTGTTGAGAGTGATTGAACAGATCGCCAAGTCATTAGCTAATTATTATTATCGAGGAAAAAAAAAAAGGTGCTTTTATAAATAAGCTAAAAAAAAGGAAATAAATGAATGAATGAAATGAATTTGGAAAAATTTGCTTAGAAAAAAAAGATCAAATATATGACAGGATTTGAAATATTTCTTTTTTTTTTTTTTTTTTTTTTTTTTTTGGGAGCATCAAGCGTGAAATCAATTTGAAACTGGGAATGCATTTGAAGAAATTTGGATTTTATAAGAATAATTTTATTGTTTATTGCTATAAACAATTTGAACGATGCATGGTTGTTGTGTTATCTTATTTAAATCTTAAAATACTTCAAAGTAAGCTAATACCACAGTACTGAGCAGAACCTTGACTAATATACATGAGCAGATGAAATGTAAAGCAAAGTATCGTGAATGAAGGCATCTTCAATGATTCATGCAGAAACATTTCAACAGCATTTTTTATGTGCTATGTATTTTGGAAATTTTTCTGCCTAAATCACTGTGAAAAAATAATTGCTAGTTTTTTTTTTTTTTTTTTTTTTTTTTGAAAAGGAAAATGCATTACGAATGCTGAAAATCTCTCAAAAAAAGGTTCAAAAATTCTATTTTTTTTTTCTGAAAATGCAAAAAAAAATTTTGAATGTCAACATGCTATTGCTTTAGAAGTTAGATAAAAAGCAAATATTTATAATTAATTTCGTATTAATAAGAAATAACAAAAAACACAAAAATAATTATATACAAAATGTAATTAAAATAATAAAAAAAATAATTATATGCACATTTTCGCTTGCTTTTTTGAATTATTAAATTGATTTTTTTATTTATTTTCTCTTTCCTTTTTACTTTTTCAAATTTTGAAAGTTGGACATTTTCAGCAATTTTTGCTGCCTTTTTTCTTGCTTTTTTAGTTAAAATTTGGTAAAAAGAAAAGATTAATTTCAAAACATTATTCAATGAATTGAATTTAGAATTATGCGAAACATTTGATCAATTGGATATCAATCAAGATGGTCGTTTAAGTCGAAATGAAATAGCAGTGTTGTGGAAGATAATAAATGTTGAACCAACAAGGGTCGAACTGGACTTTATCTTTCAAGAAATGGATCCAAATAGCAAGTTTAATTAAACTTTATTGTTTACATTTATTCTTATTAAGATTATAAATCGAAGTCACAAGCTTTTAATAAGAGTTAAATAATTAATTAGTCGATTAAAAAGTTAATTAGTTGATAATAATAAATTTTGCTTTATAATTATTTCGGCCAATAAATTTTATAGGTACTTTTGTTTGCCAATATTAATAATAATAATAATTATTATTATTATAACAATGTTGGTCGAATAAAAGTTAATCTAGGAATATTTTACAGAAATTAAAAGAAATTAAAAAAGTAAATAAAAATCTGCTTATTATTTTATAAATATTTTTGTCTTAATTTCAATAGGAAGAAATTAAACTTATTTTCTTTCAAACTTATTTTCTTATTTTCTTAAACTTATTCTTTCAACTTATTTTCTTTAAGCTTATTCTTTATTTTCTTTCGTTAAATTAGATTTATTGTTTGACAGATAAATTTATTGAATTATATATATATTATAGAATAACGAACTGCTTCGAGTTTCTTAAAATAGCATACAATTTATCAACTTTACAGTACTCTGATAACCATAAGTTTTTGGCATACAACTAGAAATCAATAAATTTTAGAACAATTCATTTTGTCTTTTGTTGTATCAATATTTTACTTTTAAATTATCCTTTGTAAATTTTTTTCATGAAATACAAAGCAAAATGTTGTCAAAAAGATGAAAAAAGGTATTAAAGGAATAAGTAAAGTAGCTCAAGTTAAGAAGTAAACAATTAGCAGCAAAAGTTCTTTAATTTATTTTTCCGTTTTTCCTTTTCCTCTTCCTTTTTCATTTTTTTTGACATTCGTTATTTTTAGATTATTTCTTTATATTTATTGATTTTAAATACACAATGCGCATCAAAAAAAGAAAAAGAGGAAAAAAAAACTGTAATAAAAGTTAAGAATAAGAAAAAAAAAAAACTCTACAATTTAATTTATGCTAAAAGAAAAATTCTGTTGATATTGATTAGTAAATAAATATTTAATAATTGGTAGAAAATAAAACTTTTAAATGAAATTAGGAAATACTACTTTTTTCCATTTATTTGTAGTAAAAGAGAAAGAATTTTTAATTGAATGATGCAAATAACTTTAATTTTAATTTTTTAGAAACAGGTTCAATCAGTAAAGAGGATTTCATACGTTATATGAGTACACCGCCAGCTCATCGTACAACTCTTACCGAACTGGAACGATATTTTCGATTATATGATAAAGATGGTGATGGTGCTATCACAATTGGTATAGCCCATATTTATTTATTTCTTTCGGCTAATTTAATTACTTATTTTTTCATCACTGCACTTGCATAATTCAAACAATAAAATTATTTGACATAATTACTATATTTTATATATAAGAAATCTTTTATTAAATAATAATTCCTTCATAAATTTTTTTGTATTTTTACAAAAATCCTTGTACCTTTTTTCCTGAATTGTATGGATTAATTTGAGTGAATGATTTAAATGCTAAAATTTGGTTTTTGAATTTTTTGCAATTTTTTTTTTTTTTTTGTATCGTCTTTTTCTTTCAACGGAAAATTTTTGAAAGAAAAAAAAATCAAACTTAAAAATAAATAAACTTTGAGCAAACGAGGATTCAGATTCCCCTGAGGAAAGTAAAAATTGCTCGATAATAATACAAGATGGACTAAATTTGTTTATTTACTTTTGTCGTCTTTAATTTGCTGATATCACTTGAAAAGAAATGCTAAGATGACGAAAAATTTCCTTTCTTTTTTTATATAATCAAATGTCACACCAAATCATATTATATCAATATCAAAAGAAATTAACCTTAACTTGTCATTCTGCTCTGATAACTTTTCATTGAAATTTATTCATCTATTTTTTCCCCATTTGTGTTTTTTTTTTTTTTTTCAGTAAAACAACTACAAAAAAATTTACGAAGTGGAGTGAAGGAAAAAGTGTTTTTTTTTTTTTTGCTTTTGGAAATTCGAAAGCTTTTTAAAGAATCTTCGGCAACTATTACTTTAAAACTAATCTGAAGACACTTTTTCTAGCATTCAGGATTGCTCTCAAGAGAATGAATGCATCGTCTATTGAACAATTCTATAAAAGGAGAGAGAGAGCGGGGAAAAGAAATGATCCCTTTTCATATTTGTTCTATTGAAAATAAAGATTTTCATACTTACATGTATTATCTTAGTGACTATTTAAAATTAATAACTAAAGTTATGGGTAAATAGTTCTTGTCAATTATTTTGAATGACATTCAAATTAAAGATTTCTCTGACATCAAATATCAGATGAATTGTTAAATGTATTTTTATACTCAAATCATTAATTATTAACCTTGCCTCAGATTTATTTATTCAAATATTAACAGTTAATTTTGTAGGTTATACTAATTTTCTGAATAGGTTAAGATTTTTATGGATAAAAAAAACCAAGAAATAAATAAAATTACTTAATTATGTGTAAAATCTTTCCAAATCTTTTGCAGATCAAGTATTAAAAATCCTGGAGGAAACAATCAAAGTGACGGATCGTGAATTAATTGAAGAAAAATTCCAATTGATTGATACAAATCATGATGGGCGAATTTCATTTGATGAATTTATGAGTATGATAAAAGAATCGTAATTATAGCTGCTATTTTAAAATGAGTAACAATAAAGCGTTGTAGTTTGCTTACACAATATCAAATAGATAATAAACGATAATAATTGCAAGACTTGATCATGGAAGACCATTGAAAAAAATGCGACCGAAAAATTTGTTTAATTATTTCCATTAACTAATTATGATATTAAAATTGTCTCTTTCTTAAAAAAATTTAAATTACTGCCAAAAAAACAAAATTTCACACGATGAATAATTTCAAATAAACAGAGATAAAAAATTGAGTCACAGCAATTAGAAATAGTTAAATTCAACAATTCAATCACAATATCCAGCTAAAATGAATATAAGATTAATAAAAAACTAGAAGAATTGACTGCATTATATTTAGCATAACAAATATATTCTTTTAAGTTTCAAGTAAAATCTAGAACAATAGAACAATCACTTAGTATTCATTGCCAATTCAATTGACAATTGATTATTTAATAAAAATTGTATCACTCAAGACGCATTTTTCTCTTTGATTATCAAGCTGACCTTACAATGATAAGACATTCAGACTCACCTCTTTTAATTCAATTAATTATAATAAGAAATTTTTTTTAAAAAAAAAAAAAACTACTAAACATAAGCATAAGCAGATTTGTTGAAATAAAAATGTGAGTAAAAAATGCAACCAAAAAAGGCGGATGCCTTCAAGACTAACTGCCTTTTGCATGCAAAATAAGCAAAAAAGAGTTCATTGCGTTATCAAGCCAATTTTTTTCAGCTAATTTTTATAGTTTTTCGATCGAATAACATTTAGTGCTTCCCAGCATATTCTTCCGCCCTTCTGCAGAAGAAATGATTTATGACATTGGAAAAAAAAACAAAATAAGTGAGGAAAGTTAATAAAGACTAATTTTTTTTTTCATTTTTCATTTAAAATATCGTCAAAATATTAAATTTGAGTTAAAAAAAAAAAAAAAACGAAAAAGTATTTTTTTTTGGAAGTTTTTCACATTTTTTTTTGATGGAGAATAATCTTTTTTATCACTGGCAATGGCATAAATTAATTAATTTCAATAATTTTGTTACTTTTTTTAACAAAAGAACATAACACAAAGTTCACAGAATTCTTGACCTTTTTAATGAATGTATCACTATGATATATTTCACTTGTTATTCTATTACAAAAACTATTAAAGTGAATAATAATATGCAAAATATATGAAATATAAGCAGCTCTAAAAAGGGATAATTTGCATACAATTGTAATTCACATCTTTATACTAGCATTGACATGACATCAGTATGATAATGATAACATACTTTTCTGTTTATAGAAATGGCAATCATTTTTACTTCTTTATTATGTTAAAAGCAATGAGATTGGTAATTGATTTCTTCAAATTGTCCAAACTGTTCTTTTCAGACCATTTTTATTTTATTTTATTATTATTCATATATTTGTTATTATATTATATATATTATCAACATCTATTATTGTTATTATTATAATTATTTTGTATTATTATTATTATTATTATTATTATTATTATTATTGTTATTATTATTATTATTACTAGTAATAGTAGCAAATTGTCACATTACAGTGGTAGAGTCAAGAATTTATTATTCAAAGCCTCTTGTATTGTTAAATTATTTATTATGTTAAAGATTATTATTGTGCTTATAATATTAGAATATCCGCTGCATGCAGCTAATTCCCAATTTACATGTAGTACAATTTATCGGGCAAAATTTCAGTTAAGCGTTTTAGTAGAGATTTTTTCAGATATAAACAGAAGGTATAAATCCAGAATGACTGAATGCAATATGTCAATAAATTGATGAAATTATAAAATTCAACACCACATATTAATTATCACAGGTAACCATTCAACGTGAGTATGAATTTGGTATTTCAATTACACTTCCCTTATTTATTCATGTCTCCTACTCATCAATCATCTCACTTTGAAGATATCTGTAAACAAACTTTCTGTTACAATAACTGAAAGGGAACAATAAGCTGATTCGAATGAATCCAAATATTTTGATTATCTTCGCTTTTATCTTTGCTTTTATTAAAAACGGTATGCAAATTTTTGGAATATATGTGGAAATATCTGTGCTGAATTTTAAAAAGATGAAATTATTTGTTATCTTGTTGTCATTTCCTTTCACTGAACAATTAAAAACGGATTGTTTTCAATAGATCTGAACATGCGAACAAAAACACAAGCAGAAATTGTGAGAAATTTTTATATTTCAAAAGTTAGAGAATGAAGAATTTCGAAATATTTGAAAATGAAATTTGAAGGAGTTAAATCCTATCTTTTCCTTCTCTTATCAAAGTCATTTAATTTTTTTTTTTTCTTTGTAGTTATGCTAAAACAGAACATCAGCACACTATTCAGCGAGATATATTATGGTAAGTTTAATAACACAATCCTGAATCCACTTCAGTAGCAAATTTTTTTCTGTTACTATCACGTGCTTACTAATTGTTAAATTTCATTTATTATCAAGTTATCTTCTACAGATCCACGAAAATGTGGCATATCAGTTTTACGTAGTAAGCGATATGTACGGAAGCCAAATTATCATTTGAAAGTTATGGGTGGTACAGATGTTGAAACGGGTGAACATCCATGGACCGTAGCTATTTACATGAACGATGGTACCTCTATTTTTCATTTAATTCATTTATGAATTACTTATAAACAAAATCTATGCAAAACCAATTTTCTTTATTTACTTACTAATGAAATTGATATTTCAATTTAATTCCATTTTTTTCATTATTGAAATCTTCATTTCTGTTAGCAAATGAGTTGAAGGTAATGAATTTATTAAATTAAAGTTTTTTCCGATTATCTTTATCACTTTGTTATGCCACAGATTAAAATATATATATATAACTGAGATACAACACCAACGTGAGTTCTTTGCACTAAACTTTCGGATTATTTTATATTCTAATGTAATTATATTTCCAATCATTGTTGCGCTGAAAATGTTTATGTAATGATCATTTTAGCATAGAGTTCTATCATTTTTATAAATCACTTTTTCATTGTTATTTTAAATCTTTTCCAATTCGAATCCATTTCTTTCATTGCATAATGGTTATGCTCATATAATGTATAAATATGTACAAAAACATTCCAGATGACAAATAACTTTTGCGTACAACCATTAAATTTGGCATAATCAATTGCTTATCCAATACTCAATTATAAATTCTACTTAAATCTTTTTTATATTTTGATCTATTAAGTTCTATTTTGCAGTTACACTCACATTTTAATTGCATGCATTCTTTTTAGTGTATTGCTGCGTTGGCACACTAATTTCTAACAAACATGTCATAACAGCGGCGCACTGTTTTTTCAGAGAAGGTGTCAAGCCATCTTTAGGGAAATGCCGGTAACTTTGCTTTTGATTATTAAACTTCATAATAATTAACTCTATTGATTAACTGAGCAATTTTAATTTTGTATTTCTGCAAAAAAAAAAAAAAAAAATCCAATTTGATGAAGTGCGCTTCTCGAAGCGTAATTCTACCTTTTTCTTCTTTGAAGAAAGAGAATGCTGTACAGAATTGTAATACTTGAAAAAAATTTTTGTCACGACTATGTTTTGAGATTTCCTTGATTAACCGATTAATATATTTCAATTCTTGGTAGTTTCGCTGGATTTTTCAGCTAAAATTTTAGGTCAATTTCTTACCTCTCTTTTCCTATAAGTCTCTCTTTTTGCCTTGCCCTTTTCACTCCAATATGATTTCGACCATTTCGTTTCTGCTAATTGGTTGAATATTTGAAGCAAAGTATCATTGTTTGAAAGGTTTTCTTGGTAATTCTGAAAAAAAAGAAAAAGAAATTTTTGTTGCAAAATCTCTAGTCAGATACTATTTCTAGTGAAATTCTCGATCGATTCACATTCAAAACTATCAATTTCATTTTCAGACCTAAACAAGCAATAACTGAGGAAGAAGCTTTGCAGCACACTAAAATAATGTACGGATCAAAGTGTTTGAAACGAAAAAAATTTAGCAACTGTTTCAATTCGAAACCGATGAAAACAGTGGGAATCATAAGGTTGGCATGCGTATAATTTTCACTTTTTTCATGTAAAACATTGTTGCAAATATGAAACATTTAGTGCTAATTAAGCATCTTAGCAGAGAATTGCCATTTTAGTAATAGTTGAGATAAAAAGCATTTCCATCTAATATTATAATTATAATAGTTTGTAGAATGCCGTAACAGTCATTCAAACCATTAGAAATATATGTAGATATGTAGATTAATTGTTGATAATAAGTGCAAAGATTTACATTTCAATTTTACAATTATAAGCATTTCATCCATCATTTTTCAGAAAGAACTTTTCGGCAAAATGTTTTACTAAGGAACAATTATTATTACCTTCTTAGCTGTATCCCCCTATCCTTTAATGGTTATCTCTCTTCCTCAGAAACTCTTCTGTACTGTAAAAGGCTATTAAGTGCTTTAAATAGACCACGGTGGTACTTTTAACAGAGCTCAATATGGACGTTTCTTTCGACAAGGCTGTTTCGGTGGTGATATAGCACTGTTGGAATTGGAGCATGAAATAAACGAAAAAGATGCAAATTATATATGTTTAGCAAGTAGAATTCTTCTGAATGAGAAGTTTTACACAATCCAAAGCGTTGGATGGGGAAGCAATCGTTCGTTTTCCGTATTTTACATTTCCACTGAAGTATTATGATCGATGAATTCGGATCATTTGATTTTGAGAGATATTCTGATCAGCAGATAAGAAATGATAAAATCAAAATAAAGGATTTTAACAAATTATTTTTTCGCATATAACACAAAATCTTTGCTTTTTCAGTTTCCGACATTGTGTAATCATTTAATTCCAGCAGCGATGAAACGTATTCTCATGAATAATTTACAAAAATTGGAATTCCATCGTTTATTAGATCGAAACATGTGTGCGGAGAAAATAAATAATTTACCGAACGATATTTTGTGTACCGAAGAAGCGCATAATCGAAACGTTTGCTTGGTTTGTTTTGTTTTGAAATATTTATATTGCTTTAAGCAAGAATTATTCTATACCATAACAAAGATAACAGTTAAGGAAGCAATACAGTAAGCAATTGGTGCAGTGATACGGTGGAAAGCAATATGGAAACACATATATAATCAAATGAGTATATTATCATCAAATATTTCTAATTATTTCGGCCATTTTTCTGATATACTAATTGTTTGCTGAATTTGATTGATAATTATCTTCGTCTTTGCCGTCCAGTATCTTCCACTTCTTTTTAATCTAATTTAATCTTAGGCGCCAACAAAAACCTGAAAGCTTTATTTGTTCCAAAAATTAAATTATAGATTTTCTAGGACCGAACATAAAAGTAATCCAATTAGTTTGTATTGTTTACTGAATAAAATGCTTTTGGAACTGTTGTCTGACAGACATAAACCTTAGCTGAATTCATTAAACCGTTTCGGTCATCATTTTCTTTTACTTAGAACTTAATTTCTTGTTATTAATTTTCATGTCTGAAAAATATTCATGACAAATATGGTTTGGCTAGGCTTCCAATTTTTATATTTATGGATATTATTTATTCATATTCATATTTATGGATCATATTTATGAAATAATTACAACATTGTGTCATCCTTATCAGGGTGAAATAACTTATTTCAGGGTGATAGTGGTGCTGGTCTGATGGTCCAACTTCATAATGGACGTTGGCTTCTTCTCGGTATCGTCTCATACGGTAGCTCTTGTAATAAACTGTTGGAGAAAAGAGCTCAACCCTTAGCTCAAGTTTACACGAATGTCAAAATGTATAGAGGAGAGATTGATAAATTCACCGAATACTTCTTACCTTGGGAACAAGTGTGAGCATGATATGATTGCTCTGTGGTCAACCATGTAAACTATTCGACTGATGCTTTTCGATGCTATAAAATTTGTACTTTTAACGTAAAGTTAAATTTCATGAAGAAGAATCGGAATGAATATTTTGATATTGTTTGTGAAATAGAAAATTTGATCGTTTCTTAATTATTGAAAGAAAAAACAATGATAAACACGAACACGAAGCACAAACTCTTCAATTTCTTTTTCATTCATTTAGATAGGAATGAAAAATTATTCCACCACTGATTTGAAAATAGTACTAACAGGACAAGTCTCCCGTGTTCTTCAACAACGTGCTCCCAAATAAAAGTAATTGATGTCGCAAGGAAAGGTTTCTCTATTTGAAAGGACAGACATATCATCAGGAATGCGAAATTTCACCTCTGTTGTTTTTCCTTCATTACCTCACTTTCTAGTTTGTTGCTACCAGATTCCTTTTTCATACCATCAATTATTAACGAAAACAAATTTCAATTTCATTCGAGAAAGAAAAAATTGTTTACTTTTATGTTATGTATAATGCAATTTGAGCGTTGTTGCCAAGCGAATTCGTCACTAAATTTTTTGGAGTTATTTCTATATAGTAAAGATTCTATATAGTAAAAATTTAAAAGAAAAATGAAATTAACTTAAAATTCCAGTGTACTTTCTTGATCAAGCAGTCGGCAACAAAAGCCGGACAAATGATAAACCCAAGAAGATCTTTCAATGAAATTCACACAGTTTGCACACAATTTGAGCAGGTTGAAAGTTTGTTAGGATTGGTAAAAAGGAAATATGTAAATTTAATTGATAATTATCTAAATTAAATGTATATGCATCTTTTCTTTATAAAATTCATTTATACTTTCTCAAAACTTTCGAAGCAGTCCGAATTGTTCATTCGGTCATAAAAGCGATTTATTATTTTGTATATTTTTGAACCAATTTAAGCAAATTTAAATTTAAATAACATTCTAATTCTAATTTATATTTAACATTCTAATTTATTTTGCAAATTCCCCCGTGTTTTCAGAGTTTCAGATGCATTTTTACAAAAATACCTTTTTTGCTTGCACAACACAGTCACTATTTTTGCAATATCTTGTTTTTCGGTACTGATAATGAAATGATTCCAGAAATTTGATGTCACATATCGCTCAATAAAAACAACTGCTCGAATCAAATAGCTATTTAACAAAAAACAATAAATATTTCTTCCTTTGAATTTTTTCCTCAAGTTCGATAAGTAATTATAAAATGAAAGTTCAAATCGATTGAATTGAAATAAAAGTTTCGGCAGCAACAAATTTCAATTTTATTCAACAACAAATACGCGCATAAACAGTTTGTTTGAAGTTCTTGTTATTCAGCATAAATTATAAATAATTAATCTTAAAAATGAGACAAAACATTCATAACAAAGCTGACTGTAATCCTAAGAACGTACCATATCCTTAGGAAGGTTGACCAAAACACGTTTAACACCATTATTGCAACAAAAGAATTATTAAACGGTGCGAAGAAAGCAGAGATGATACTAACAGTGTACTTATTAGAATATTTATGAGAAACTTACTAGCTTGACTCATTTAAGTATATTTTAAATAATATCAGTAGACTTTACTCTTCGGTGGATGTTCTTCGCAAATATTATTGCAGCCACTGATGTCCGTGCTGCTGTCATCACTATTATTTCCGTCGCCAATAACAGTGTTACCATCATCACCATTAATATCGTCAATAATGTTGCTCATGTCATCACCACCATCACTACCACTAATGTTCATGTTACGGTCATCACCACCAGTATTATCGTCTCCAGTAATGTTTATGCTTCTTGAAAATTCCTTAAAAACACAATTTTCTTTTACTCTTTTCTGACATAATTATGCTATTGGCGTAAACTCAGAAAATTACCGTAACGAATCCCTCGAAATTATGACTAATGTGAGTATGTTGATAATGCAAAAAAAATGTGTTGGATGGAAATCGCGCCGTTTTCATCGTTGCAAGACGTTTCCGAAATTGGTACCTTAATTAATCAAAAGATGTGATTTTAAATGCAAGCATACATTTCAACGAATGAAGTTAAACATAATAGAAATTCAAAATAGAATATATATTTCCGATTCATAAGAGAAGGATTCATTAAATTTTTACGAACCTTAATATTTCCTCGATTTCCGTATTTGACTTACCTTTTGTTGACAGATACAAAATGAAAACCAGGTAAATTAGAGACAGATGCAAGTATGCAATGAATTCTAGATAAACTACATTTTTCTTTTGAATTAAATAATCTTCATTTTATCCAAATACTTCATAATTTCAATAAAATATTTTCCACGATAATTTGAAAAGCAAATATTTTATGAATTTTGGTCTCTGCTATCTCTCTTTAAAGCAAAAATGCGAAACGATAACTTTCACACTTTTAAAATGCACCCTATAATACATTTTAGGACGATTTTTTCCAAATTTGTAACAACATTTATATTATTTCGTATATTTTTAAGTATTATCATACTTTTATATATATATATATTTTTTTTTTTGGAATTTTTAGTTATTGAAAACAGTTCCTATCACTTCATTGGTTTGTCACCAAAGCTTTTAACAAATTGTCCTTATGTCATCATTGACACAACATTGCCTCACTTGGTAATATGCTTTCCTGTTAATAATTCCACCATGATTCGTTATTATGCTCAAAATGGAAAGTATTGTGATATTTGAAATAAGAGACTTTGAACCAAACTATTATTCTCATTCTATTTTATAGTCAGTTGGTTAATAATACAAATTCAAATTTCCCCATTTAAATATTGCACAAAATAGTAATAGTGATGTAAAGAATGGAATCAAACGCTTTGAGGGAGAGATTCTCGGTTCAAATGTGAAGCTAAAAGCATATTACTGGGAGTATATCAAAATTATGAAGGACTCTGAGTGGTAAGCCAATAAAGTAATATCAGTCAGCAAATCATCCCAGCAGACAAAAACTTTCTAGCAGATAAAAACTTATAGAAACTTTATAAAGGTTCTCAAAAAAATATTGAGAACTCGAAAATATTCCAAAAAAAACGCTTTAAAAAAATAAAAATTCGACTCGTACACTTTACACCTGTTATTTTCATTAGCAAAATATTTAAAAATGTTTAAAAAAAATGTGAAAACATTTCAAAATACAGAAACAATTTGAGCATAGTTCAATTTCTTACCAGAAAATATTTTTTTTTACAATTGGGATACATTGAGCAAAGATTCGGTACACTTATATTATTAGTAACGTCGCAAAGATTACTTCTCGTAATTTTTGTGAATTTGCATTGCTATGATTCAGATTATTTTTTCTTTCAAATTCAATGATCTTTGCCCAAAGCGAATGCATACCAAAAAAAATATTTTTGCAAAACTTATTGTTTCTCAATTTGTTTCCATTCTTTTTTTTTTTTTGTATATTTTTGAATGTTTTACTGGTGAAAACAATTTCGTCGATATATATGAGCAACTGGATGCGCCAGTCGATTTCATTCAAACTGACAAATAAGTGTATTCTGTGGAATAGTTCCCAGTAAATTTTTTGCGAAGTTTTATGTTATCTTCTGAAATCTCGTGCTTTTCATCGTTATGAGATTCTGATTAAAGAATTCAATTTCTTTATGCGATTTGTGTTTAAAAGATCTTCAAGATAATTTCATTTTACTGGGACCAATCAAAGTCTTGATATACCCTCACTGATACGGTCTTTTGAACCGAGAATATCTCCTAATCTCTTTAGGTATAAATTTCGGAAACTCTCATAATGATGAAAAGCGCGAGATTTCCATTCTACACATCACTGTTACTGTTTTGTGCTCTTGGTGTGACAATGTTGTTAGCAGAATCACATGAATACTTCCAGGTAATTTTCAGTCTCATCGATGTTTCTCGTTTTTCCTGCAATTTGTCTCAAAATAAAAAATGGTTTCTTACCCTTATCTAAAATCCAATTTACACATTTAGTGCATTGTATGAAAAGAAAACTGTGGGTTGTGACGAATTTTCAATTTCCAATAAAATAAAAATTCATTGAAGAAATCTTATAACTTTAAAATGAGCGATCAAGACGATGACAGTTCCTCAGAGGAAGAACCCACTAATGATTTTAACCTTGAAAGTTGGGTCCAATCAAACGATTACAGTAATACAAATCGACAGATGGTGCCACTGAGGTAAGCCTACTTTTTTCCTACAAGTAAAGCTTTATGATGTAAGTGTTTGTAGGCAGCTAATTAAAGAAAAGAAAACGATAAAATTTTAACGACTATGGCTGTTATACCTCTGATTGATTCTTCTTTTTTAGTCGTATGCGTCCGATTAATTTCACGGCCGCTAATATTTTGTTCAGAAGAGTTAATTATGCGTCTTAATCAACGGATTTACAGAAGCACAAAACTTTTGTTTCATTATATTCGTGATGTTTGTTGCTGAAAAAGTTGAAATTTTTTATTATTAACATTTTTGATGCCAAATTATTTTCATTTTAATATAATCGATTTCATTCTTATTTTGTAATCATTTGACGAACTGATAAAAAGATGCAACAGAGGAAATATTTGCTGCTTAATTAATCAGCTGTTCGAGTCGAGCATGAATGATATTGTAATATGCATTTTAACGCCATTACTGCTCAGAATCGCATACCTACGATCTGACAGAGAAATGGAGATAATCAGATTCGAATCACCGATGTAATCATATTGATTTGATATATAACTTCTTCATTGATTATTGATCAAATATTTCACTATCCAGCAATGTCCAGATTGTTTCATATATTTTGCATAACTGAAACAAACGCAATATTCTTTAAACAATAAGGTGAAATACTTAACATGACAGAATTTTTTGAATGGAAGCTATCATTTCAGATTGGTTGGAATTAAATGACCAAAGATTCAAACAGTTTTTAATCTTCTGACTCGCATCATTTTTCATGCTTTTTCACTCACATTGTCATTTTCCTACCATTAAATTGACAGTTGATGAATCACATGACAAAGAGCATATTTTGTTGAGGTGAAAATCTATTTGCTATCTTTTGTGATTGCAGTTTTGATTTAATTTCTCATAGTAATGAGAAGCATTAACTGTTGTTAGAACTCATAGTTAGCCATTTGGTGATATGATATGATATAATATAATAGAGAAAATAATAGTCTTAATTAATTTAGGATTTGTATAGATTGCTTAGTTAAGATTTTGTAATATTCTCTTCCTTTTAAGACTTTTGATGAGATTTTGGCAGTTTAGAAGTTACAAGCAATGATGTTTGGAGTATTCAACTCTCAATTTCGATGAGTGAAACATTTACTTCATTGTTCAGAAATGTTGACTCTACACAATCGATGAATAACTTTCGTGTGTCAGATAGGTAATTTGATGTAACAATTTGGTGCAACGTTTTTCAAATCTATCTAACTAATTCTCCATGTCGTGCAAGCGTCTTTATTCTATCGTTAGCAAAAATGAATATGTCAAATACCTGGAAATTTCGTCATGAAGCAAAAGCAAAAGCAGCGCACAGAGACATATTTAACGGCTTAACACTTTAGTTCCTTTTATTTGCTATATAGAAATTTAAAAAAGTAATTCAAATTTCGTTTCAATTTAGAAATTTTTGATAAATTTTATTCTTTTTTCAAATGTCAAGTATTTGTCATTTTAATTAGGAGAAATTTTATCTAATAAACTATAAAGAATATAAAAAGGAATGCAAAAATGACACATTATTATAAGCACGCATAACTTATTATATTTAAATTATAAAGATCGATTTACACGAATAATATTCGATTTGATAAGCTAGAAATTATTAAATTATCGTCTATTCACTCGTTTTTCTTTAATATTGTTGTACTTAAGATTGTTTATCCTTTTAGAATATTGAGGCTCAAAAAAAAAAAAAAAATTAAGGTTCAGGAAAAAATGACATGTTAAAAGAATTCAGTCTTGCTAATCTCAGCAAAAAAGTTCCACGCCATTGTTTTGCATATTGTAAACGACAAGTGGTCGTCAGTATGTTTTTAGCAGATCAACAGTTATGTTTTTTGTTTCAAATACACGCAAAAACAAGCAAACAACTCGTGATCTAAGTTACCTGAAATGCGATGTGATAAGTTTATTTTATTAACTTAGACATTTTTATATCAAATTACGTTAATTAACTATCAATGCCAGAACAGAAGTATTTCAGAATAGCGAGAATATGACTGTCCTTACCAGGATGCACTTTAAAAACGAAGAATTACAATGAAATCATCAAACATAAGGAGATGTTTGATGAACCTTTTATTTATGAACGCAGAGGACCTGATCGTGGATTAAAATTTAATCATTCATCATCATTGTACAGTCATCAGGAGAAATGCAAGTAGCAAAGACTGTGGAAAAAATTTTCAACGTTCAACGTTGAGTATAAGCTGAATATCCACAAGAAAGGTTGCATCGGAACTCAACGTTAATTTGGATAATCTAGCAAAAATCTAAACATGTTTGCTAATTTGAAATTAATGCACATATATGGAAATATGTTAAGAAACATCCATGACTTTTTATGGTAATATAAAATTCGTGATCGATTTCATTTCAGGCAGATGAATGCTTGAGAATATCGTTAAATCAAAAACTTTATTTGTTTTCTCATGTATTTAAAAATTTTTTTTGTAAATTTTCCGCTGCGATGAAATCAGATCCAGTCCTCGATTCTTTGCTGTTTATTCGTGTATTCATTCCATTTCTTGAACAGTAGGTACAGCTTATCTTTTCTTATGTTGAATATAAACGAGGATGATCTATTTTTTTTTGGTTAAATACTGCATTCCTATTGAATTTTGTACTGCTGTAGAACGGGTCTTTCTCAGCTATACATTTAACTCCGAGTAGGCAAACATGTTTGAAGTTCTGTTAAATTTGTGAAACTAACGTAGAGCTTTCGTACAATGCTTCTTGTGAGATCTCAA